AATTCTTTGCTTCCCTTGTTCGAGCTTGTTTATTAAGTCCATTAATAAGCACGCTGTAGGTAACAACATCAGGAAGGAAGTCCTTTTGCATCATTTCATTATGCAACTGAAGAGCCTTACTTAAATCCCCTTCCACACAATATGCATTGATTAAGGCAGTATAAGTAAACTCGTCAGCAGGCAAACCAATATGTAACATTTCTTGGAAAAGATCACAAGCTTCATCCAGTCTCCTCTGCTCACAAAGGCCTTGTATCATTGACGAATACGTGATGGCATCCGGTAAAACACCTTTTTTAACCATCATATGCTTCACCTCAAATGCCTTATCCATATCCTGACTTCTACAAAATCCAGATATTATTGTACTATAAGTCACTACATCCGGGGCAAGGCCTTTCTCAATCATATCCTGAACAACTCTTGAAGCCTCTTCAACATTACCTGCAATGCGATATCCATTAACAAGAGCATTATAAGTCACAATGGAAGGTGAGAATCCATTCTTAATCATCTCATTCAAAACTCGATAAGCTTCACTCATGAGTCCCTGTTGACAGAAACCATCAATCAATGTGGTATATGTCCTCTCATTAGGACAAAGTCCTCTAACACGCATCTGATCTAAAAATTCTGTGGCTCGATTCATATTTCCAGCCTTACACATGCCGTTGATCAATGAAGTATAAGTAACCACATTAGGTGACAATCCATTTCTCACCATCTCTGCATGCAAGACAAGCGCTTGGTGAAAATTACCCTCCTTACAATAACCATTGACTAGCGTGTTGAAAGTCACTTCATCAAGAACAAAACCCTTCTTGTTCATCTCTCTAAGAACCTCGCCAGTCTCCTTCATCCTCCCTTCTCTACATAAACCATTAATGATCACGTTATATGAAATCAAATTTGGTTCCAGACCATTCAGTGGCATTGATCTCAATAACTCGAATGCATCATCAACCCTCCTCAATTTACAGTATGCATCAATCAATGTATTACACGTAACCACATTAGGCAAACACCCAGTTTTCTCCATGGAACTGAAAAATTGGAGACCCATATCCAAATTCCCTGCCCCGCAAAATCCCCTGAT